CTGGAGAGCCGGCCTAGGCGGTGGTCGGGGAATCCGCTCTGTGGCAACTAGTACGGCATTGTTGTGCCAACCTCTTTCTGCATGGTCTCTGAGATGTCGCTCCGTGGCCCTTAGCGTCAGGCTTTGCAAATTACCCCCTATGAAGTCAGCGACATCGGAGCGAAGGTGTAAGCCTCGGTCAGGATCGAGAGGAAAACGTTGTGCATCCGTATCACTCATCACCCACAGGCAGGGATCGGTTTGGCTGGGATCCGGTGCATCGATGTCCCAACCTTCGGTGTTGTGGAGCATGGCTTGCAGTTCCGGACCGGGGGAGTAGGTTGCACCGGGCCACGCAATGACGATGACACTACTTGTCCGTACACGAGGGCCGTAGCAAGATGGCCCAAGAAGACCTGCAGATTTGCCCCGCTTCCTAGGCCCGCTACCACTAAGAGATCTTCTCTGCGCATCCGTTGGGGAACTGGCAGGGCATACATGACACCATTGTAAAGGCGGCAGTCGAAAAGCACGACTCTCTCCTGAAAGGGCCAATCGGGCAACGCTAGAAGGGTCGCAAATTCAGAGGAGGGCTGTGGGCTTACTGGCACAAGCCTGTCGTAGGTGCTGCCGGTATCGACATCTCTAAGGTCATGCACCTGCCGTAGCACCTGCCTAAGTTCACTAGGTATATGCAGGAGCAAACCGACTGCGTATAGCAGGAACTTGGCCGATATGTCCTCCGCCGGTTCTGCGGCAAGACCAGTAACTGGACGCGGTTGCGAGAAGACCGGTGTAGGACAGTGCGCCGGCTGCCGACCCTGCATAGGGACTACGTGCTCAGTATCTTCATCCTGTCGCCGCCGCTGCGCTGGATCCGTGAGTGCTACGGCCAACAAGGGTTGATCTGGGCCTTTGTCAACCGGTGGGACGCCATCATGGTCGGCCGAGACCACAGCTGCAGACCTTTCATGTCTTCCAGTGGCCTCAGTTGTCGAGGCCTCGGTCCCGGCAGTGGCGGAAGGCACAGGGACTGCTGAGCACGGGTCGACCTGTGCATTGATGGAGGATTCGGCTGCCCGTCTTGGGGTACGGTCATCGGAGTCGTCCGGACGACCTCCGGACCTGCGGCAGCGCAGTAACCCTGAAAACCAACGTAGTACTACCCCTGACCCTTACGTCAGGCCAAAACATTTCACCCCCTTCCACATGCAACCAGAAACCTTCCGGTATACTTAACCTAGCTCTGGCGAGGATGCTTGGAATGTGCACCCACAATGAGTGGGAGTGGTGCGAAAACGGCCGTATGCCGAGAGGCCTGAGATCGCACAGTACAAAAACATCTCTCCTCTGGCTGCTGACCGGACAGGTCCTTTCAATGCGCGGCAGGTCCGTCACAGAAATGACAGCCGCACAGGGGCTGCCCTGCACATCCAAATCCCTGGGCTCTTCATGCATATGCATGGTAACACTGTCGGATGGCCTGCCGAGCAAGGTACCTACCGCTTCATACACGGTGCTCCCACTAGCATGGTGTGGCGACATAACATATCGCTCGCCTCGAAAGGCAACAGAAAAGCTCGGGGTGAGCACATGTCTGGGAATGTGTATGAGCCGGCCCCACTGTGCCGTCGGCTGGAAGAGCTGATCCATGGTGCGGATCGGCACCGGAGGTTGCGTCGGCACCAAGGCTGTGATGACATCACCCGGGGTGAGACGCACCTGTTGATTCGTCGGGCAGGGCGTCTGACTGCAGCCTACATAAATGTGGTAGTAATCCAGATCAGCCCTTGTTTGAGGATAGATGTAGTCATACAGATCCTCGAAGTTGATGGCAACTGGGAGTACTGTGGCATAGTAGTGGCCTCCTACCCTACTGAGATCCATTACCACGGGGACGTGCCCTGAGGGCCCCAAACGTTCAAGGGCTTTGCTATATACTAGAACCGTGGCGTATCCATTGTGCCTCTGAGGGGTGACAGGCACTGCAGAGTCATAGAAGCCATGATACAACGCCATACCCAGATCGAGAATGGCACATAGCAACTCCGTTGTGTTGCTGCTGCGCGTGAGATTGGCCGCCCACTCGGTGGTCTGGCAGTGGGGTGCCATAACGGAGACCCCCAGCCAGTCATCGGTGCTGCGCTGCTGTGGGTCTTCCTCTGGAAGCTTGAGGACACGCTCGGTTCTCGGGGCGAAGTTGTTGTGTCCTGTCGCACTGAACCTGGCGGGCCAACTCAGAGAAACTACATCGACTGGCTCCTGTGCCGGAGGGGCAGCAAAGCTGAAGGTAGTCTCAACTTGTCCTTCTAGTTGCATTGCCAATGGTAAACCCTCCGGAAACAAGTCCTCATAGGTTGCGCGCTCTGCTTGTGCCGGGCTATGCATAGCCGATACATAGTGGCTGTGTCCAAGCAAGCTGGCAAATGCTAGGCATCGGTGGGGCAAACCTGCAGACATTTGGTGGGGCAGGCTAAGGCTGGCACCTATCCATGCCAGCCACCACCTCGGCTTGGAACGAGGAGGCAGCTTCCCTGTAGCAGTGCGAGACCGTGTTCGCGATGCATTGGCAGCCTGCCGTACTTTGGAACCTAGACCGAATCCTAGAATCGCCCGGAGGAATGGCTGCACTGGCAAACCGATGCAGGTCGTGAGCTTTCGGCAGGCACTACGAACCGGTCTGCAGGTGCCTTCCCCTAAGATTCCCAGTAAAACAAGGAGTAGGTAGAAGCCGAGCATGAGAAAACTGGTGGAGATCCGGGCTTGCAACCATTGGAAGAATTGGCAAAACTGGCAGTGCTCGTGTTCGGTACGCCAGACACTGAGGCAGCCAAAAAAGGCGCCATTGCAGCTGTCCCGTGACCTTATATTACGCCGGGAAAGCCCACACGCGAGCACCTCCGACTGGGCACTATCTCCACTTAAACCCTCAGGCCTAAACCACAATGCTAAGGGGTGGATGCCGCTGCCAAACTGACTGGGCCACAGCTGCCCGTCTCCGTTGTCCTCGTAAGGTTCTGCCTTGCTGTCACTGTAGTGCAGCAACCTGGTTTGATGGCTGCTCGTCTCACCTCCGACCTGGCCTGTGAGGTACTGTACAGTTGCGTCGGGCCTGCCTGTACAAGAACCGCTGTACACGTACGACATCTGCTCAGATAGGAGAGTGGCTTGGTTGTGGCATGAGTACCGGCTCAACTCGAGGTGTAGCTCGTGTTTGGCAACCTGAACAGGAGTAAACCCCATGCACCTGTCAGGTCGCCAAACCACCGGACTCCTCAAGGAGGGCGCTCTCATGCCGACAACCTTGCCTACGCTGCCGCATATCGTCCAGTTAGGGCATAGTCGTGCCCGCCTGTCCACTGGGCCGGAACAGGCGACACCGCATTGTGCTAGCCCATACGATGCAGGCTCGGGCTGGCTGGCAGCCCCTGCTCGCTTTCCAGGTCGATTGGCATCTCCGTGGCATCTGTCCGCGCTCCTTCTCCGCCTTCGACCTTGGTCTCCGTAGGTCTCGGCCCTGTGCCGAAAGGGCGCAGTGCCGCCCCTTCTTCCGCTAAGGCTGTCGCCCGAGCCTTCTCTAGCCTGGCCTGCAGCGCCTTCTCTGGTGTCGCATGCTTGAGCGGCTGCACTGTGTTCGGCTTGACCGGTGTCCGGCGTCCACGTCCAGGCGAAGGCTTGACCTGAGTGGGAGTGGCATTGGTCGCCAAAGGCCCACCCGTTGCTGATGGGGAGAGCTGGAAAGGGTCCTTCGGCAGCTCCGGCACCGTGTACCTCGGGGACAAACCGGTTGGCATCGGTTTTTCTGTCGCCGCCAGCAGCTTGCCACGGTCGAGGCCACAGGCATGGAGGGCTCGTTCGAGAACTCCCTCCGGCTGGTCGGTGCGCTGGCGTTCCCTGCGACAGGCTGTCATCATCTCGTCCCACTCGGTATCGCGGGCTTCCTCCACGTTCTGGATCTCTGCCGGCCCTTCGACAACTATGGCCCGTAATTTCTGACGGGCCTGTGCCTGTATCTCGAGGGCCGTTTCCAGGTCCGCATCGATCTTCGCCACGTCCTTCTGATGGCGGGCCAGCTCGTGAAGATATGAATTCTTCATGCGCTCCAGCCAGCCATTCCAAAGGTCCTGCTTGGTATTCCGTGTCGCGATCAATGTGCGTACCTTTTGCTCCGCCTTCCTGGCGTGGTTGATATTGTCCTGGAGAGCCTGCACCAACATCGACTCGGGGTCGCGTGGCACATTGGTCCCGGTCTTGCCGGGTTGACTGCCCTTCGAGCTCCCCTTTCCCTTCTGTGCTGCATCGTAGGCCGGGAAGGGCACCGGTGAGGGGGTCTTGTCCTTGGCGAACTGGTCCCACCACTTGTCCTCGGCTTGATACCAGGAACCAGGCCAGTATTGCCACCGCATATTGTATTCTTCGTCTCCATGGTCCTTGTACTGTTTCCATGGCTTTTGCTGTCGACCCATTCGAGCGAGGACCTGTCTTTGATGTGGAGCCACCGAGTGGTGCAGTCGTAAAGAGTGCACCTGGTGGTATGATAAAGGTTGTCCAGCTCGTAGCTTCGCTCTGATGGTCGATCGTCGCGCACGTTGGTGTCGGTGCCAATTAGGCGACCGAGGGTGCTTCGTGTTGCACCACGTGCTGGGGCTACAGCAATCTCCTACAGTCTCCGCTGTGGAGTGTTCTGAGCCCTGATCTTGGATTGGCAGATCATTTGAGTTTCAATTTTGTGGTCTCGGCTTTCCGGCTTTGGGCCTTGAGTCTTGAAGTGCAGGTCTTTGAGAACTGGAGTCGTTCTTGGGTTCGGGACCAAGAGTACACTAGCGCTGGGGTTCCATAGCGTGTGCATAGTACGGAATCTTGAAAAGCTTATTAAGCACCCCTTAAAAGCCCCTAAACGAACTTTAGAAAACCCAGTAACCCGTGATACAACCCTTATATCACGCTGTAAAGGCCCGTAAGAAACTCCTTCGTAAGACCACAAGACTCCTTAGCGCCCTTCTAAGTCCAAAATCCTGGAGGATCCGGAGCCCCTCCGCGAGGCACTATGGTCGCTCGCTTCAGAATCTGGGTTATCCAGGTTGCCGGGTTCAGTCATATAACATGACGGCTTATTTCATTATTTGGTGTTTAGCCATGTATGAGAGTTTGGGCGACGGTTTACGGTTTCAGAGGGTTTAGGGTTTACGGACATACATGAGAGTTGATTCTAGCATGTAGGGTTCAGGGTTGACTCATAAGTGAAAGATTCGGATAACCAGCAGGATCAGTATTACAAGACTGAACCAGTTCTCTCCTCACCAGAAGCCGCAAGCTTCATATAAAGCACTATGTTTTATAGTATCAGGAAGTAGGGGCTATGAGGGGTATGCTGGTATGAAGTCTTAACCTTTTGTTCCGAGGTGGAGTTGAACACTCCATGAAACAGCAGAGCTCCACACCTGGACATCTCCGCTCAGGTCCCTGGTCGTGGCCTGGCAGCTGGCTTCACCAAAGACGCTTGGGAAAAGCAGTGGCGAAAAAGGGTTGTCGAAGTCTTTGGATCTATATGGAGGCCTTAATTACCAATACGTAACAGTAACACTTTACTATCTTGGGGGCTCCTTATTCTAATTTTTGCATTATATACCCCAAAAACCCAATTCCAATTGTTAAGGTCCTTGTATTGTAGATGGCTCTGAAGGTTGCAGAGTTTAGGGCTTCGAGCTTGGAGCTTTTGAAGGGCAGGGTCCAGGAATTCAGGAATCCGCCTGTCGATGTCAGGACCGAGGGCTTGTAGTTACACATGTTGAATACCCCACGTCCAAACCCTAAGCCCTACACTGTAAAGGGAGCTCTAGAAAGTTGGAGGGTAGGATACTTTATAATTTACCATCAAAGGTTTAGGATAATCATATTCCAACTTTCTGGCTTTTACTTTAAGCCTAACTCCTTAGACCGCGAGAGTCGAACCTCTGCAGTCACTTAGACTCAGTCCGAACGAGGTAGGGTGTTTGCTACTGGCATGCCGCAAACGACGCAACAGTGTTGCATGCATGATTGATACTTGTTCAGATAATATTCCCCAACATGCGGGATTTGGAGTCTTCCATGCCACGAGTCTCAACTGCAACCCCGGCCCGTCAGCAACATCTCAGAACCCCCAGCCAATCTAAGCCCCCGGAGCTTAACTCTAGACCGCGCAACCAACAAAATCACGTATGGTCCCAATAGAAGTATATATGTTATGGTATACCCCGACATCCCATTCTACTTGATACGAGCCCTATGTTACTCTAGAATATTTGGGTTCAGCCGGTCTTGGTATGCAGGAAATTGGGTTCCAGGGTCTTCAGTTGCATTGCCAGACACATTCCAAATTTTGGGGGTTGCGGAAGTCTGTGTATGTGTGTGATATCAAGTGCATGCGCTCCAGCAGCGGGAAGTGTCGTGGAGCCTGTCCATTGACAACTGGGCATTGTTTTCTTGTGGATCAGGGTTTGGGGTGCGGAGTCTGAGCTGAGGATAGTTTGGGAGTTTCGCGTTTGTTGGGCCTTTGAAACCAAGGCGTGTAACTTTGGTGGAGCCGGCGTTTGAAGAGTTGGGCAGGGCGCCTTGCACACACGAGACTGCCTTCGATGAGCGTTCTCTCACACATGCTAAACACACGCAAAACGGCAAGAGACGAGAAGACAAGCAAGAAGGAGGAGACGTACACGAGGCGACCCCTAATCACCACGACGATGGGGATACGAGGATTGCCACAGTTCCTTCCAACTCCAAACATCCAGCAATGTTCAGCTGTTTCGTCAAGCGACGAAGGGTGGGAGGTGCAAGCACGCAGCCTTTGGAGCAGGATTTCGCAAGCCTTCGAGATGCATAAGTAGGTTCTCCATCGCCATCAACTTCATCATCACCATGAGGACCAGCATGCAGCGTTGTCATAGCTATCTCCAGCTTGAGCATCAAATGTCTGAGTCCGTCGAGCAAGTAAGCTTGAATTGGTGACCGCACCACTGCAGGTTCTGACAACCGGTGGCTGCTGGCAGCGCGCTGAAGCTGCCCTGTGGCTCCTGGCCAAGTATGCCAAGGGTGGGAAGAAGGAGGAGGCGATGGCAGGGGCTGTGAGAGACAAGGTTTCAGACTTGGGGCTTGGAGTCTGTATGGCTCCCAAGGTTGAAGGGCTTCGAATTTGAGAGTGCCGAGCTTCTACTTGAAGGCCTCCGAGGATGGATTGGGGTGTTGACTTCATCGTTCCATTATTCGACGCCCGGGAAACCTGTGAAGATCATCAAACAGCCACGGGCCCAAGAAAGCTTGAAGCGCAGAGACCGTTTTTCCTTCATTGGTCTCGGGCTCCCTCTTGAAACAATGGCACAACAGGAAGAAGGTAATCCTGTTTCTTCAAGGGCTGTTGGGAACCCATTCTACTAGTTTGTCGGGGCTGGGATGACATCGCATTCGTTAAGCTGAGTAAATAATCTCGTCAATGTATCTCGGCAATTTCCTAACTTCCCTGAGCGTGTTTTGAAGCGGGTTGTCAGAAAGTACAATTATAGTCGTTAAACCTTAAGCTCATAAGTATTGATGGACGTTCTGCGGACCAAGTCGCCGAGACGTTGCAGGACAGTTTGTCTGTAGATTGCTTTGTGTATGTGAGTGTATCTTTCGTTCTAGGTTCCAAACTCTCAAGCACACACGCTTTTATATTTATATATATATATATACATACGCATGACATACATGCATCCCGATGTATCTGTACATGCGCACAGGTCAAGACGTTGTCAAGTACCTCCTAAACCCCAGACCCCAAACAAAAAGATCCCTAGTTCAGAGCAATCTCTGCAGGTTCAGAAGGCCTCCCAAGCACCACTCCTCATCTTCACGAAGCTGCAAAACTTGCACGCATCTCGGCCGCTCTTGCAAAGACTTCTTTGCTAGGTACTGATTTGGACTCATGTGTGACTCCCCTTCTTGGTTTAACAAGGAACCCTGACGATGAATCTTTTTGAGGGCTTTTTGAACTCGGTTCTGGGGAGGGTTTAGGGTTTAGAGTTTGCGAGGCTAGGGCCTGGGATGTAAAGCTTGGGCCTTATATCGCCTTCTGAAGGTGGTACACAAAATTGATACTCTTCGAAAGAGCCTCGAAGCTCAGGAATCTGTCTTGCTTCCCTTGGAGCCACTGGTCGGGTGCCCAGTGGGGCTCGGCTAGGGATTAAGGTTTACGGCATCGCCCGAACCTTCCGAGGCTTGTAATCCAGAGTCCCAATATCATCCTCGATATGTCAACCCGGAACCCTCAACCCTTGGAGGCAAGTTCTCATTGCGCGACTCCTCCCGAACCCATCTTTTCGCTCCTCGAGGACCCAAACTCTGCAAGGGCTGAGCGGTCACTTGTGCAAAGATTTGCCGGGTCGCTTGTGCAAAGAGTTGCCTGGTCGCTTGTACGCGCGGAGGTGCGTTTTGTATCGGCAGGCCCAATGAATTCGCAGTTCGTTACTTGTAACTTGGTGATGTTTGGAAGCTTGAAAAGTGCATGAAACGTCGGCAGGGCCGTGGTTTCCGGCTTTCGGCGTGCATGCTCGAAATCGCGCTTTTTGGCTCCGAAGTTGTGAAAGTGCTGGCAGGGCCAGAGGATTTGGCTTCGCCGCATCGGTGCTTTGTGCGTCTGTTCAAGCGCTTGAAGGCAAGTGTTCGACGCGAAACCTCGACAAGGTCTGTGTTTTTGCTGCATGCCGCATGCATTCAAAACGATGTTGGTTATTGGCGGATCGTTGAAACAACGCGTGCTTTGTATGTCTATTCCTATTCCTTGCAGTTCGTTTCCTCGGATTCCGCAGGTGTTCTTTTGTCGGAACCCATCCAAAACGTGCTTCTGGAGGCTGCAAAAATACATTTTGGAGGTCCGTCCAGAGTTTGTGCTTTGCGGGAGGCATTAGTGTCGGCTTTCCTCGCATCCGAGCGTCTTTCGCTGCAGACGATTCGAAACGTGCTTTTGCAGGCTGCAAAAGTACATTCCGGCGGTCCGTCCAGAGTTTGTGCTTTGCGGGAGGCATTAGTGTTGCGTCTCCAACGCGAGGTTTCGGCTACTAGCCAGGCCAAGCAGAGCTTCTTCATGTGGAACCACGCACGAGCGAGCCATCGGGACGAAAGCAGCGTTTGCGTTGCTTTCCTCGCCTCCGAGCGTTTTTCGCTGCAGACGATCCAAAACGTGCTTTTGGAGGCTGCAAAAGTACATTTTGGCGGTCCGTCCAGAGTTTGTGCTTTGCGGGAGGTATTAGTGTTGCGTCTCCAACGCGAGGTTTCGGCTACTAGCCAGGCCAAGCAGAGCTTGTTCATGTGGGACCGCGCACGAGCGAGTTATTGGGGCGAAAGCAGCGGTTGCCTTGCTTTCCCTGGCTCCGAAGTTTCGCTGCAAGTGGTCGAAAACGTGATTTTGGAGGCCGCAAAAGTACATTTTGGAGGTTCCCCCACAGTTCGTGCGCAGCGGGAGGTATTTGCACGCGTCAAACACGGACGTTATTAGCCCCCCACCCCACCCCCCGCCCTCCCACCCGCCCCCCCTGGGACCAACAAGAACGTGCTGGTGCCAACGAGACTTCTCTTGCTGCACGCGTCAAACACGGCCCCCGCACGCGTCAAACGCGGACGGTATTAGCCCCCCACCCCACCCCCCACCCCACCCGCCCCCCTTGGGACCAACAAGAACGTGCTGGTGCCAACGAGACTTCTCCTGCTGCACGCGTCAAACATGGACGTCATTAGCCCCCCACCCCCCACCCCCCCCCCTGGGACCAACAAGAAGGTGCTGGTGCCAACGAGACTTCTCTTGCTGCACGCGTCAAACACGGACGTTATTATCCCCGCACGCGTCAAACACGGACGGAATACGGACGTGATTAGCCCCCACCCCCCACCCCCCCACCCGGCCCCCCAGGACGAACCGGAACGTGCGTTTCGAGCCTCCAAGAGTGCGTTTTCCATGGTTTCAATGAGTTTTCAGCCGAAGCCTGCTCTGAAAACGCTTCTCCGGAAACCAACAAAAACATGCTTTTCGAGCCTCCAAAAGTGCATTTTCGATGGTTCTCAGATGTTTCCTAAAACAGCTCAAAACGCACTTTTCGGCCAGCACTTGCCAACTTGGCAAGTGCACTTTCCTATGGTTTTTACAATGGATTCGACACTTTTCCATGCTTGTTGAGGCCATTTCCGAAAAAGACCGAAGTGCACTTTCCTGTGGTTTTTATCATGGATTCGACACCCGTCTTTGCGCAAGTGACTTGGCAAATCTTTGCGCAAGCGACGCGAATTTCTTTGCGTAAGCGACGGTGCTGCCCTCTGCAAGGCGCGTTTAAGGCTTGGGTGGCCAGGAGAGAGTTGAAGGCCAAGTAGAGGTGCATCAGCGCGTGAAGCCTCAATCTCGTCTGTTTGGCTATAAGGGTCATAGGTGCTCCGTAGTGTTGCCCCCTCCAAGGTGATCTCCTCCTGCGCTCTTGTCGAAGCCATACCCTCCGCCGAAGCGGCACCCTTCTTGCTGGAGCTGCGGTTGGCGCAGCCCCAGGCGAGAATTCAGAAAGACTGCACCATGACCTAACACGACTTGTAGGTCCTAACATTTGAAGCTACGGGCATCGTGCAGAAAGTGTGATATGGTAGCTCAAGGTAGACCTGCCCCTCGCAACCGAAGTTTTCGATGAAAAAAGTTTCACATCGACCTAAACTAGATGTTTAAGACCCTTAAACCGAAAGCCTCGCGTCTTGGCTTGCCCGATATCGCACTCCCGAAATTCATGTCTTCTACAACTCCTATATCGTGCCACACCCTGCGCTGTTGGTAAAACATGATAAACGTCTTGGACAAGACTTGTGATATGACCATGCTTATTCACGCATGTGCATGTGCATGCAGGCCTCCGGGAATCGATGTTTGTCTCTGGGTCTCTTCTCTGTCTCTCGTCTGAGAAGTTGGCCTGACTGCTATGACCAGATCACAGTCATAGCAGTGGCCATCCCTAAGTATGGGCTAATGCTCTCCTCTCTCTTTTCGGGTTGATTCTTCCCACTTGCTTTGGGACGGATTCATCCACATGTGTGTGTGTATATATATATATATATATTTATTTATTTATTTATTTATTTATTTATATTTATTTCATGGGAACTATACAGAGTTTTGGCTTGAGCGGTTGGGAGGTGAGGTTTCCTGTTGTTGTCATGGCCTCCTGTTGCGGCCTGCGCCGTCGTGCACGAGCGCGCTACTTGAGACCAGGAAGGCAGCTGCTGGTGTTTAGCCATTCCGATCAACAGTGGCACAAGGGCTACGTGCTGGCTTGCACAGATTGTTTTCTGCGCGTGGAGTATCGAGTTGAAGGCCGCATCCGCCAGAAGTTTCTGGACGTTTGTTCTGACGATTTGCAGATGCATTTGGACAATGTGGACGTTTGCAACGCAGTGCTCGGGCCAGGTCTGAGTTTAGTTTTTGGAGCTCGGGGCTGCAAGTTAGTGTCGTGATGCCGTGATGCAACATGCAAGTCTGGGGCCGAGGCTTACTATGGCTGCTGTGAGCCAGTTCTTGCAACGCTGGATCTGGCGTTTTCGTGCTTGCCGATCGCTGCTTGCCTTGTTTCCTCAATGTGGCTTCGGAAGATGTTTAGGGACTCTGCCTGCTTTGCATATGACTTAACATGAATCGTGACTCGGCAGGTCTTGGAACAGCTAGCAGCTAGCAGCTATTGCTGGACTCGAGCCGACCACAGAATAGTTCCGGCTTGGTCCATGTCGTGTCATTCTATCAAATGGCCCCTAGTGTAAGTCCACACACTGAAGAGAGCTATATGACTATGCATGTGAGGCTCGCGAACCGCCGAAGATGTCCGTGCTGTTTCAGGGTTCCTCATTGATCAAGATGCTTCTGGAGAACAACATCCGCTTGGTCAAGTGTTCTGCCCTCAAAAGAGGGGCTGCATGGCCACGCTGTCAAGAAGTACCGGAGCACCACTTTGTGAGCACTGCGGAATTGGTACGATGGGGTGTCGATCTCTGGTTTCAGGGCAGACAGAAGATTGTTGCTGTCTCGCATGCCTGGGAGACGATGCAACATCCCGACCCGTTCTGTTCACAGAATGATTCAATCATCGAATCTTTCCGTCGTAAAAACCTCTTCTCGACGGATCCTCATAATCGTGATGGTGGGGAGGCAGCATGGCTGTTCATTGACTACATGTCTCTGCCTCAATTCTACCGCTCGAACCCATCCGAGGTCGAGCAGTTTCACGCGGCGATGGGTTGCATGCACTGGCTGTATGCCCACGAGAAGACATACACCCTTGTCTTGGATGAACTGACTCCTGAAGACGAATTGGAAACCCTTAACGAGATATTGGTCTATTGGTGCCCAGACACCTCACGCCCTCAACTTGGCAGCCTGCAGCACGTGCCTGTGAAGAACCTGACACACAACCGCACACCCTACGCTGAAAGAGGATGGTGCCAAGCAGAGCTGCAGTGGTCGCGAATGAGGAGCGAGGCCGGGAGGACGCTGGTCGACGGCTACGGCTTCAACATTCCAGGCACCGCCCCATGTGCGCCCGGGACTTTTCGGCGGCTCTTGGCGGATGGGAGGCTGAAGTTCACGCACCGAGATGATCAACAAGAAGTTGAAGAGCTGCACGATGTCGTATTTCGAGAGAAGGCAGCGTTGAGCACGATGTTACTCTTGCAAGAGCTATCAAAGTCAGAACTGGATGTCTTATCAGAGGCACTGCCATACTATGTCAAGCTGGAAGTCCTTGTCATCTTGGCCCGCAGGTGTTCAGACGAAGAAATGACGATGTTCCTCTCTCACATAGAAAGACTCAAGCAAGCACAAGTCTTGCCAGCAAATCTCAGGGTGTTCGACCAGCCCGAAAACATCGAAGAGCCTGCGGAGTCCAGCGACGACGAAGAGCGCTGATTGGCACAAAATCAGTACTGCATGCAGGTGTTAATCCTCACGCGCAGTTGGGCTGCACCGATGAAAAGTCGATACTAGGTGAGCTGTCGTACTGACCGCCTCTAAACCCGTGCACCCTAAACCTCAACCCAAAAACTATCATCAGGAAGCCAAAAATGATCAACGTCGTGTGAAAGGACCAGGACTGGCCTATGGATTCTGAGGTTTCGGCTGCAGCAACTTCCTTTTCGCTGAAGTGAGGGAGGAGTCTTGGGTTGCTTCGGCTACAGTACAAGAACACAGGCAACCGATCGTAAAGCCTCCGTACTCTACACGGCCGAAATCGACCTCCCCTTTCATTCCCTTGCCCTCCTCTCCCTTCCCCTCCCGTCTTCGAAGGGAAATAGGATCTCAAGAAAAAGAATAGAACCCGGCACCTGGAAACCCCGAGTCTCCAAGCCCTCGAAGGCCCGAAAGGCTCTCCGAAGCGTCTGTGCCTCCTGTCGATCGGCCCTGACCCTGGGAATGGCAAGAGCTTGTAGGGGTTAGGGTTTGGGGCTTGGGGTTTGTAAGGGTTGCAGGGTTTGGGGCTTAGGATGTATTTACGATTGACATTGAGTCTACGATTGCTGTGTGTGTGCTTTCCCGGCTTGCCGAAGGTTCGATCAAAGCTTCGGAAGGGTAAATTTGTCTCTGGAGATCTGAGCCGCCCGAAGTCCCGAACCTTAAACTTTCCATTTCAAGCTTCGAGGAAGTTAGGAACCCGAAGTCCTGTGACCCAACAACACACGGTTTAGAGCTGAGGGCTGATGGTTTTGCGGTCAGAGGAAGATACGGGCGGGCTTCGTGGACTCTTGCATCTCAGCACGCCTCCTCCGGAAATAGCATGAAAGCCTCGCTTCGAACTTCCATCAAGACAGGGGGGCGAAAAAGCGCTGAACGCATCGTAAGACAAGTTCCCCTCTCGTAGGGCGTCGAAACAGTTAGTAACAGTATCCCCTTGTCATCCTTGCACATTTCAAACCCTAGTCCAAGTTTTAAGGAGCCCCTCAATTGCATCATTGCGCGAGTTGCGCAGACAGCAAGGGTGGTGTGAGTTCGCGGGTTTGGGATGCGTTGGGTCGCGGTTCGGTATTGGGTTCTCGCTTGGGATTTGGGGACCTGTTTGGAAGCCGGGCCCCTCGCTTTCAGAAAAGATGTTGGAGCCTGTGGGAGAATCCTATGGTAAGTCATCAAACATCCAGTTTTTTTCTGACAACTTCAAGCCTAAACCTGAGGCCTTGTGGCCACCTCAAGATCAAAAGGCCAGGTGAACATCCGGGGGACTAGATGTGTTTCGGAACGTCTCCCAGAGTTCCGTTTTTGTGCATTGGGGATTCCGTGCCTGTTCCGTGCCTCGCAAGGATGGGTACAGACTTGGCCCGGACATTGCAGCGGAGGGCATTGGAAGGCAGTGGAGCCTGACGTGCAACAGTTACGGGTAAAGGGTTCAAAGTTACAGGAGTTTAGAGGTACGGATTTGGGATGTAGACTTCAGGAGCTTTGGTTTCATAGCTCAGGGTGGAGTTTAGCTGTAAGTCAAACATTTCAATCCTGCACCCGGACGACCCCTTGTGTCGGGCTTCAGACCGCAGACTTTGGACATACGGTTTTACAGAATTTCGATTTGTTTCACCTGCTTTTTGCCTGAAATTCCAGGTCTAGGCTTTGTCATGCGCAGTTCCGCAGGCTTTATGGTTGCGGTTTGGGTTTGAGGTTGAGGATACCAAGGAATTGAGTTGTTCAGATTCAGCAGTTCCGTGTTTAGTAGTTCAGGTGCTGGAAGTGTAGTTGTTCCGAGTGCATGCATGGTTTGGCTGTTGATGTGAGGCTATCACACTTGCTGCAACTTCCGGGATTCTAAACCGTCACGCACAGGCGAAGACGACTTGGCGCCTTGGCGAATATTGACGAAAGCACCGGCGAACCGAGATGGTTGAACAGCCAGCGATTGTATCCATTGAAAGCCCATACTTATTTTGCAGCATGCTACTAAGACTTTTTGTATTTACTAAGGCCCTTGTCTTTTTTCCTTGGAGGCTTTCATTGCCGTAAGCATGCTGGGGCTAAGAAGCTTGGGTCGGACTTGCTATGCTGTTTAATTTGTGGCACCTCTTCTACACTATGCCCTGGGTTTTGAGAAACCGAAGGCTCAATGTTAAGGACACTGAAAGCCGAAAGCTTCGGAGGCGCCCCCATCATCAGCAAGTTCGCAAAGATCGAGCACCCCAGCAGAGCGCTACAGCGGACGCCCGAAGCCCTGGACCCAAAGTCTTAACCGGGAGCCTTGAACCGTAAGTCCTAAGTTTTGCATTTCCAATCATGCGAGGTCGGGTCCGTAAACTTCCTGCATGACTGCAAAAGGTGGCATCCGCTGCACAGCTTCAAGATGCGGATGGAGTTCGCCAGCTGGCGCAGCATTGGGCGAAACTCTGTCTGGAGGCGCAAAGCCGCCTGCTGTCTTGAGAAGCCTTCAACGCTAAGCTTTGCACTACACCCTCCAAACCAAAACCTTGAACTGTAAAGCCCACATGCTAGAGCAAAAACCTTAAAACCTGAACAAGCAGCTGATGCCACAAACCTTGCCTTAACAGGCCTCTCCATCGCAGCTGCCTCAACGTGCACGTGCCGTTTTCGCTTCGATGACACGCGCAGACATCTGCCTGTTGCTGAGCATGAACGCGGGCCTGATTTTGGGGGCCTTCATCAAGGTTTGACATGGGTGCTATAAGGGCTGCAAGGGGGCCTGGGCAACCACTCAATTGTATTCTTCAGAATTCCCGAAAGCATCGTGGCAGAAGCAAGATTACATTCCGGTGTCCGGCTTGCACCTGAGCTGATTAACTCTGTCATGATAGGATGTCCCCGGATTCAGGGTTGAGATGTGCTTGTGCTCCTGGCATAGTCCCGTGCATGGCTGGATGAGTTAAGTCGAGGGTTCATTCCCATGAAGTGCGATCGATGTACTTGCATGTCATGCAGAGTAACGCACGCAGGTTTACGGATTAGGTTTGCATGTAGGAAGGACAGGGCGCCTAGAAGATCAGCAATAAGGAATCAGGGCTTACAGCTTTGGATTTTTGACCTGGCCTGCATCAGGCTGCTAATGCCAGACTGCGCTCACTTCCTGCGCTTCGTGGATCGGGAGGAGAGACCGAGGCGTTCTTCTTCCGTTTTGGGATTTGGGAGTTTCCGAAAATTAGGGGGTACCTTATCTTGGGGTCCTTATAATAAGGATCCTCCTTTTGAGGTTACTATATTAGGGTCTCATGATTTAGTGTAAAATCAGGATGTACGCTTTTGGAATCAGGGTTTATGTTGGATTCAGGGTGTGGGGAGGGCGGGACTTGGGTGTTTCGATTTTACCAGCGTTTTAGGCGTTCAAGCACTAATCATTAGTGCTTGAACGCCTAGAACGCTTAACAGCATTGGAGCCCAGGTTTCCATTGGTCTATAGAGGGGATCTTTCGCGGTTTGTAGGAATACCCCTAGCCCCCTCTGACTTGAGGGATGCACATTCTGCATGTGAAGATGTTGCGAGCCACATGGTCCATCCCAAATCCACAGCTCTAAAACCTTCGACTTCGTTTGTTTTCGACTACTCACAGCTGGGTGCTATGATGGTGTAAGCTTTGATGTAGACTTCGCCAGGTCCGGAGGACTTTACGAACAGTAAACCCGACAAGAAATAGCTTGAACAAGCTTTTTCAAGTGCAACGGTAACGAGTATGCTACCATCTTCCTAAAAATACCGCTTGAGAAGTTCCGATCCTATACTAATGTCCGTTAACTCTAAACGGCCCGAATTCCGATACTGTCGCAGCAGGAGCAAGTGCTTTTTGCGGTGCGTGTCGCCGAGTTTGCGAGCACCTCACAGCATCTTCGGGCGCCGGCATTGGAGGCGCCTAGTACGGTGTCTTTTTGGGGCTTAGGGCCGCGGCCCTAGAGAGTTCAGGTTTTTGTGCGAAGGGCTTTTGAGTAGCATAAGTATACTATTGTCTACCACCGAAAACCCGAGTCTAAGTATGGCGGCCCCAGCCAGTGGAGCAAGCAGGGTTGCAGGGCTGAGCAGAGTTTTGGCTTTAAGGGTTCAGTGTCAGTTAAAGGGTGATGGCCTTACCTGTTGAAACACTCGGTTTCTATAGTGAGGGGGTTGAGGGCTTCGGGTCTTAGAGATTTAAGCATTTGGGTCTAGGGGCTTGGAGGCCAGGGAATGCGAACTTACGGATTTAGGGTTGATTTACGTTGTGGGGTTCATGTTGATGTAGAGCTTAGTAGATGTTGAGGCGGAGACCCATTGCCATGACAGGTCATAATGATGAAGTCATGGATGATACAACGAGCAGCACGGACGACAGTAACCGTACAGCTCGCAGTGGCATCACCAACATCAACACTTACTTGTAATGCGAGGAGCGAGAGCAGGACTGTAGTCAGTAGTAGCAAGGCTAAGCAGAAGCACTACAAGCAACACTGGTTGCAGTAATGGTCCCATGCCTCTTCAACTGTGCCTCCACATCCTCCACCAAGCTATGTATGCCGCTACCCGAGCAATCAAAGCAAGAGTTGAGGAAATCCGCGCACATGGCCTTGACATGAGTCGACATCAACCATGATAGTACCAGCAAGAAGGGGGCAAGAAGGGTCCAGATAGCAACAACAAGATCGTCGTTGGAATTCATTGTCTCCCTGCTTTCCTCATCCGGCTCATCAGTTTCATCCGCGGCAACCATGATCGTCATCATCATCATCATCAGTATCGTCCTCATCAACATCATGATCAGATGCATCAGTAGCAGCGCAGATTCGTCATCGTCACCGTCGTAAACGAATGCAGCGTCGCAAAGACGGTATTCGCAAGAATTCCCGTGACAAGCATCCTGGCAATGCCGGAGGAAAACAGCAGTGCCAGCACCCGCGCCCCGTTCTTTTGTTGTTCTCACTTCTTTGCGGGCTTTGTAGGGTTGCCAGGACTTGTCTACTATGTTCCTGCCGTGGAGCTTGATTCGAGCCCCAGCCCACTTGAGCATGTTGGCTCCTTTAGACAGAGCACAGTCACACCTGCTTGCGAATTGAGGGCTAGGGTGTGTTTATCGGGCGTTTTGAGACCCTAAAACCTACACATTTGCCGGAAGCTGCAGTGTTCGGTGAAGTTAATTTAAGCTAAGTTCAATTATATTAAAATTTTGAAGCGTTTAGTATATTGTAGTATATCATATCCTTTTCTGCAGCCCGGTAGGTATGGATCGCTGTCTGGCCGCAAGCTGAAGGCGATGAGGATCTCGTTGCAGCACTAGCGCCCCGTCTGATTTTCGTGTCTCGGGTTTAGGAGGCTTAAGGGGCTGGGGTTTAGGAGTTAGGAGTTTCTGGAGTACCCGTAGCCGAATGGCGGTCTTGAGAACACCACACATCACAATCGAAACCGAAGCAGTCGTACTAATGGCAGCAGGAACCAAAACAAGCCGACAAGAAGAAGACGACTGAAAAGTCATCACCCCGAAGCCCCAAGGAACTTGCGCACCGGATATTGGATTGAAAGCCATTTCTCTCCAGGGTTCGTGTAAGTTCCATATTCTTGGTTCCTGCTAATGAGCTTGTACGAAGAGTTGCCTTAAAAGGAGTACATGGTGAGTAGGATGTAAGCCCCCGCAAAACTTAAGCCCTTAAAGCTTCGACCCTAAAAGAACCCCAATAAGAGCCCTACAGGCCCCCAAAAACCCATTGCAGACCCAAGGAGCAGCTGGTTCAAAGCACCGCCCGCACTTCGGACTTGGCGGCTCCTGCCTTGACGCTTCTCGCGCCTGGGATGCGAGCCGGAAAGGGGCTTTCGGGGATGTGAAGGGTCTGTTGGGGCCTCTGGATCCTTTAGGCTGTTTGGGGCTTAAGGTTTCAGGAGGTTGAGAGCTTTTTGGATCTTGAGGGTGCAGCCCAGGCTCAGAGTTTTCATCTAACCGCTTTTGCTTTGCAGCCGAACTAGAGCATGGTGCTCGGCTTACTGCTGGCTGTCTTGATTCTCTTCCGGCCCTGCGAGGGTCCGCACGCTAACCCCGAAGTCTTGGACGTGTCCAGCTCTCGAGTTTAGGATTCGCATTCCGTGTGATCCTTACGTTCTGGAGTTCTCGGGCTTGGCTTTGGGTGTTGCGACAGGACCGCCCTGCATAAGCGAGAATTAAAGCCTGAGGAGACCCTTATCAAATCCTTCACACGAGAGATCCCGTGGTACAGGGCTCGGTTTCTCTGCTAGTGGGAACGGATGATTTTCAGGCTCAGGGTTCTTGGGTTTGCAGGCTTTGGAAGATGATTCAGAGTGTGGGGGCGTGCAGCGATGAGGTTTTCTTGCGTTTGGTGAGTTGGTTCACCGGCCCTGAGAGAGGTGAAGAGCTTTGCCAATGCGACGTCGTGGGCCCCGCACTGTGTGAATGCTGCGCTGGGCGCCGTGGAGGCTGATTTTGTGGGGATACGGCTTCAGGTTTATCCGGGGTGTGTCATCATCCATTCAGTTGAAAACTTTCCCGTTGTAGGACGGTCTAGGCTGATATTATTCGCTGCGGCCTGGTTTAGCCATCAAAGGCCTCAACTCTCTGCTTCGACCCTGAAGCCATGAAGCCCTAACAATGCTGAGCCGCTGAGCTGCAAGATGCCAACGAACCCAGCTTACCCAAGGCACAACTCCACCGGCCCAATCCCTACTGTAGAGGTCTGAATGGCTCGTCATAGCATCTCCTTATCGTCGCTGTAGAACCGCACCATCATATGCCCCAATACCTTCTTCTTCTGATGCCTAGAGCCCTTTTGCTGTGCCGACCTGACAAAATCCAAGCCATGTAGACGCAAACCCCCTGGGGTCCTCAACCCAACTCAGCGCCTGACGCCTCTGAAACGGCAGAGCTCAGAGGCCTCCATTGCCCCGGCCTCTTCTCCGTGGCCCCTCACCGTTGCCATGGCGACTGCCTATGGCTACGTGATCCAGTGCGTGCCTGGGCTTCGACTTTGCCGGGTTTTCTATGGGTTTGTGGATGTAGCATCATGGAATCCGATGCAAGCCCCATACCAATTGAGCCTCAGGGGGCCAGTGCTGACCAGAGCTTGCAAAGTCTCTCTATGCCATTTGAGAGCGGATGACGGCCAGGCTGCCACCATCGCTAGCTGCCAGCCTCTTCCCAGTGCTCTTTCTCTGGTGCCCTGACAGGTTTGGGTGTTCCTCTGGTCTCTAGGGGTGTTTAGGATGTAGTTTTCCGGAAGAGGCTGGGTGTTTTGTTTAGCCTGGAAAAGCGAGCTGCCACGTTGGCATTCACGCAGACGCTGGCATTTGGACAAAACCACAGCCCGCAAACGCGTTGATTCACGATTTAGGATTCAGAATTTGGGGCTAACCCCTTAGCAACAGGAGGTTTGCCTTGTCAGGGTGCTAGAAGCAGTCCACATGACATGCGGAGTGCAATCTTTGCTTCTGTAGAGTTCTTGTGCGGCGCAATGCGCTCCCAGACGCTTTGCAATGACTTGCCAGGGCCAAGTTCTCTAAGCGAGGGTCCTTTTTGGGAATCTCTGTTGTAAGAGTGAGTTTTTCCTCTGTCAACCCAAGGAAGAAACCTCACTTTTCCAATCCCTTTATGATGCACCCCCAGTAGCAGGTACGTATCGCTTTTCACTATCTTTACCATTCTGTACATTATCATAGTTACCATGACAACTGTCGTTACGATCAGTCCCGGTCTCTCTTTTCCTCCGGCTCTGGGGCTGTAGCCGACTGCGAGCCAGGTGGGCGCTCTCGCCTCTTGGAGTGACAACACCGACCTTGGTCGCGCGCTCCGGGCGGCGCTGCTGGGGAACGAAGCGGCGGTGAGGGGTCTGGCCCGCTTCCTACAACAGGGAGGGGGGAGCCTGTAAACCCCAAAACTACACAAGGAGAACTCCCGGAAGGTGGCTGACTTTGGGGTCTGGGGATTGAGCTTTGAAGAATTTGGGTGTTGAAAGGTCAGGTTTTTCACTTTCTTCGGTGCCTGGGGTTTAGATTTTCGGAGGTTGTGCTTCAGGTGATACGTTGCAAAGGTTTACACTTCGCAGCTTTAGGCTTTCAAGGCTAAAGGGTTTAGGCTTCAGTCTTGGATGTGTATCTTCAGGGCACTTTGCATCGTGTGTTTATGGACATCTTGTTCATGGCATGTTGCGCGTCTGTCGGCCAGTCTTGGCGACAATGCAACTCATGCAAGTCTCAGAAGCAGTGAGAGACTCTGACTGCAAATCCCCATCGCGTGCCAACATCGTTGCAGAGCTGGAGCTTCAACCTGCAGGCCAATGATACAACCAAATACGATATACTATAATCTTCTATGATTTACGAAAATATACTATGATTGACCATAATATACTATAATATACTATAATATACTATAATATACTATAATATGCTATAATGTGCTATAATATGCTATAATATGCTGTAATATACTATAATATGCTATAATATACTGTAATATACTACAATGTACTATAACTGACGATAATATAATATAATTGACCATAGTAGAATGGACTATAACACAGAAGGCTCCAAGAGCTCTGCCAACCCTCCAGGTCCAAGCTCTCCCTTTCCCTGCACCCTGCAGACGGTAAGGCGCAAAATGAGATCCTTAGTAAGTAGGGTTTAGGGCTCCTTTTAAGGGTACTATAGGGTTCTATAACAGGGTTCCTTAAAGGGATCCATAAGGGTTATTGGTTTGCTCCGCCTCTGATTTTTGCAACTCCCAGCTGTTTAAGACTGAAGCTGAGCCCACTTGAAGCCTTGAAAAGCCGTATACCGTTAGCCCTGTACCCTCCAACTCTACGAACCCTTAACTCCTAAACCGTCAACCCCTATGCCCTGAACTAAACCTGTAGCCCCGAACCCTAAGCCTACGGGCGACTGCTATTAGCCAAAGCCGAGGTCGCCCAGAGCGAGGACACCCGCACCACTCAGCGCATTGTTCGAGCCCTGGGCTTGTGCCTCGGAATCCGCAGACCAAAGAAGCTGAGTATAGAAGCCGGAATACTTACCAATGCTATTCCTCAGATCTACTATATATGAGTTACCCCAACCATCTACTGCCCCCGTATTCGCTGTATGATTGCTGTCCTAGTGCAATCAATCGCACGCCCGAAACAGGTCTTTGGAGGTATTTATCAGAGCATCAGTCGTAGACAGGGTTTGGGGTTCTTCGTCTTCTACGGCTTGTGCCCGGGGCTTCAGAAGGTTTCACCGGTCCGTTCTTTCTCGTACCCCAGCAACTGCAAATAGGTAGTCTCCAATGTTGCTTTTTGTTGTCCTGAGAAATGATGTGGTTTCTCAGGTGATTCCAATCTTGCACAGTGGAGGACTGCAGACTCGGCACACGTCAAAGGACGCGGACGATGGGATGTTCACGGCCGTTCAGTCCTTAATCCTGGGTGCCACTGTGCTGCAAGAACCGACGAGAATACCTGTTATGGTGGACACGGCCCTGCTGTGCACGACATCGTGTCTTCGAGTTCTTGGAGCAACGGAGAGACAAGCACACGCGTGGGGCCTGCAGAGAACCCGATGCGGCTGACGGAGGTTTCTTCCGTTTGAAGCGACGGGTAGAATCAAGCGATGGGGCTTTTGCCTTTCTTCCGAGGCGTGAAAAGTGTGATTTTGCCTTTCAGCGGGCAGGGGTCGGTGAAAATCTTATTCCGGGTTGGGTTCGGGGTTGACGCTCTGTAAAAAACCAGTGATGGGCAGACATGAAAACACAGGTATCGGACTTGGTTCAAGCGTCACAAGCAGCCGCACTGCCGCTTTGCCACCGCAGACACGTTCATGAGTAGCGACGTACCTATCCAGAAGCGTGACTCGAACTCCATTCCAGTCGCACTGTTATCTTCACCACATGACATGGGCCATATCATTATAATGATTATAGTGACATGAGCTGGCACACTCTGCACATGCTGAAATCGCAAGCGGTGGTCGCGAGAGGCCCGTAGAATCGATGGCATGTGTGGCCCAGGCTCCGGCTCAATGTCGTTTGGAATTGTTCAAAAGGGGGTTTCCGGGGACTGTCTGATGGCTACGAAGACCGTCTCTCATGCCATCCGCCTGCTTGCTTCTAGCTCGGCCTTCCCGAGTTACGTCTGGCACCCCGGGGCCCCGAGCTTCCGGGAGCTTTGCTCCTCGGAGTGGATCTTTGGCGCCCGTAGCCCGACACAGTGCAACAAGGAAATGAATGCCGCTGCCAAGGGCCGGGACTGGAAGCTGGCCTTGTGCCCGGGTCGTACAAACATCACGAGTATAAATATAGTGTATATATATATATATATATATATATATATATAGTGTTTGTGCATATATGTATAATATATATATATATATATATATGTGTGAATATGTATGTATGTATGCAGTGCGACCTTTTCTGTATACATATACATATGGTAACCCCCCAAGTACCACTGGGCTAGCACGTATATCTATCGAATCCAGTTTTCGGTGATCAGTTTTGTTGTCTGACAGTTTGGCACCTGTGCAGTCAGCAAGTAATTCCCGTCAGGTATGTGTTTCATGGTATGCCGAAGAGAAACATAGCGCGTGATGTTGTGAGCTTTAATGGCGCCATCCATGCAGCGAACCTGGGAGCAAACTGGTGGCTGGCCACTGAGCTGCTGCGAGCGATGCCCGAAGATGCTGTGGTGCCAGATGGCATCAGTTACAACACCACCCTGAGCTCTTTCCAACGAAGCCTGAATTGGGATGGGGCTTTGAAGTTCCTGGCCGGGATGCAGAACCAAGCCATAGTGCCGTCTTTGGTAGCTTTCAACACTACCATCAGCGTCGCAGAGAAAAGTGGACAGTGGCAAGTGGCCCTCGTTGTCTTTTCCGACATAGCGACTGCAAATCTTCGTCCTGACGTGATTAGCTACAACGCGACCCTAAGCGCTTGCGCTAGAAGCAGCCAGTGGAAGGTGTCCATGCAGCTGCAGGACCTTATGCGTGAAGATGTGGTAAGACCTGACATCATCACCTGCAACGCTGCAATGAGAGCTTACAGCCTGGGGCAGGAGTGGAGGGAGTCCCTGAGCCTCATGGCCAAACTGCCCCAACTTCGGATCGACCCGACCAGGATCACCTACAACACAGCCATCACTGCGTTTCATGCAGGATCCCAGTGGAGACTTGCAGTGGAGCTCTTCCAGAAGATGATCAGGGTGTCACTGGCTTTGGAAGACAGCTGTAATGCTGCAATCAGTGCCTGCAAGACAGGGAAAGCCTGGATGGCTGCGTTGCAGCTTCTCTTCGAGATGCCCTTGAGGGCTCTGAAACCAGACAGGATAAGCTATAACGCTGCCATCAGTGCATGTGAGCAAGCCAGCTGTTGGCCACTGGCACTCAGCACCTTTGAGGCCATGGCTCCTGCGAGGTTGCAACCGGACATCATCAGCTACAATGCTACCATCAGTGCTTGTGCAGATGGAGCTCAGTGGCAGCTTGCCTACAGCCTCTTAACTCTGCTTCCTGAAGAGGATGTTGCTCCAGATGCTGTGACGTTCAACAGCATGATCAGTGCTTGTGAAGCTTCGCAGTGGCAGCAGGCCTTGCAGCTTCTTCTCTTGGAGACATGGAATGTTCGAGTCTTCCCGGACGTTGTGGGTCATAATGCCACCATCAGTGCCTGTGAGAAGGCTGGCCGGTGGCTTCTGGCTTTGGCCGTTTTTGACATGGTCGGCCAGAAGCGGCTGACGCCCACAGAGTTCACATTCAGCTCAGTTATCAGTGCATGCGAGAAAGCGGCTCAATGGGAACGGGCAGTTTTCTATTTGGGACGAATGGCTGCGGAACTTCCCCCTAATCTCATCAGCTACAATGCTGCAGCCAGCGCCTGTGAGAAATCCAGCAGGCCGGGGGGGATCTTCCCCAAATCGGATTTATATGGGTCTAGAGTCTTTGGGCTTCAGGGCTCTTTAGGCTGCCCTGTGCCTAGTCCTACAACAACACTGTTTCGTTTTACCTTTGAAACGTGGGGTTCCTCTATGATGCTTGCCTCGGCATCATGATGACAGCGTTAAAACAATATGAGTCGATAAAAAGCACGATGACTGGGAACAGCACAACAGAAACACGTTGCAAGAGTAACGTTGTTGAGGCACAGTGCTGATGTTAGTATGATGCCCTCCCACAGCAAAAATACTAACATAAGACGGTAGCAGGGGATAGTCACCCGACTCATCGAGATACTGAAGCCCTGAACACCAACGACAAAAACAAAGAGCCCAAAACCCTTGAATCCCAAATCCGAAACTGTGAATCCCCACCAAAACAATCGCGACCGACACAAAGAGCCTTAGATCCAGGAGTAGCATGAAGGTGCGCTCAAAGTACCCCGAGTAGTAGGATCTTACTTATGCAGGCCCCCAAACGAAACGCTATCCCTAGGATTGACCCGACACAGGTGGCAGGCGGCTCTGGAGGTTTTCCAGGCACTAACAGAAGTTGCTGGGCGCTGTTTTCCTGCAGGTGTATTTGTTTGTTGTCTTTTTGCTGGGTGGGGTTCCGGTTCACAGGGCGTCAAGATAGTTTGAGGAGGAAAGGTTTTGGAGTCGGACGCGGGCTCGGCTTGGGACTCCGGCGCCGGCTTTGTCGAGTGGTGGTGCCGGGAGGGCTTGGCAAAGCGAAGCCTTCAAGCCCCCAAAGCCTGCAAGGAACTTCAGCTTTGATAAGCAAACCCTTACCCGAAACACCAACCAACAGTCGATAGCATGTTTCGATACAGAAGTTAAAGACCTAGCTAGGTGCATGAGATGTGGGATCTCTTGGTTCATCCACAGTCCTGCCCGAACCTCAAGACGAAACACTCTCCTAAGTACTAGGCCCTGAACCTTGCATCCCAACCCAAACTTCCCAAATCCTATACCTTGTCCATACGTCAATATCAAGAGCTTTGGCCATGCCCTGCCTAGGCTGAACTGCAGCCAGATCTCATCACTTTTGCTGCGCTTCGGATGGATTGGATTCAAAAGTCTAGAATTCTTGCAGTGGGTATGTTCTACGGTTTAGTGGTTGAGGGTTTCGAGTTTAGTTTCAGGGTGTCTGGGTTTGACTTACGAGGCTTGTCTGGAATGTAAGGGTTGGAAAAACTAGCAATACTCTCCCCTTCTAGTCCTTGTACAGTCAGATCTATTTGTACTGAAGCCCCAAAAATTGATTCCGATTCCTAATGCCTCCAGATGAGGGGCGTTTTCGGGATTCAGTGTAAATATAGCGGCCCATTCTACTAGAATTTTAATGAGGAGCCCCCAAAATAGTATAGGTAATCATTAAGCCCCAGACTGCATCAAGCTGATTTTGACCGCTGAGGCGATGACGAGCACTTTTGAGAAGACCCTGGACGGTTCGAAGTTTGCGGGGTTGTCGGGGCTACATTTTCGGTCTTGAAGAGTTTTGGCCTCGAAGGGTTCTCGGGTTCTGAAGGGTTTATAGGGTTTTGGCTTTAGGCTCTAGGGGTTTTGCCTTCGATATGCGTGGTAGGTTCGTCAGATGCGAGTACATTGGGCTTTTGCATGGCATCCAGCCGAGGAGTGCCCAGTGGCAAAGGGCGCTGTCTCTGCTCAAGCAGTGCAAGGACAAGAAGCTCCTCTGAGATCGTCGTAACAGCCCACTCGACACCCAAACCTCTCCGACCTCGCCATTCATGCGGAGAGGCAAGGCTGCCCCTCGCTCGGCATTGCTCCTCGAAAGCAACCCCAGGTCCGAGTCATTGCACTGTTTGCTGCTAGATGGTTCTTTCGTATGCTTATAGCAGCATAGCTCCACTGAAAGATTCAACATGGGTGCTGTTGCGTCCAGGTTTAGACGGTTTAGAGTTTACGATGAGCCCAGCAACCCTTGATCAATGACTTCCTGACATACCTCGAAGCAGATAGCCCAACAGCAAAGAGGTTTCGACGTTGGCATGTGCTTGCAGTTTTTCGGCTAGGAATTTCAGGGTTTGCCGATTGCGCTCTAAGGGGCTCACAAGCTGCTTCAGCAACTGTGAGTTGCTCCAGCTTCGAGTGCTGCGTGAGGAGGTCCCTATGACAGTAAACACTTTCATGTCAATGAGAAGCTAATGTGAACGTCTGAAAAATCAATACGGGTATCCCCCGCAGCCAACACACCCCTCCTCCAGAATTCGGATGTGCAGCAGAGCAACGATGATGTGATCATCAGTTGTGCAAAGAGCCAAAAAGGCCTTTATCAGTTCGGTTCTTGGGGGTGCTGGCTGCCGCTTTGGAGGCTTTTAGGGTTCAGGGCCTCGGAATTGGGGCGGTTTCTCAAGCGCAATGCTCAGTCTTATCAGCCTCAACCCATGACCGTGAGGAACCCTCTACACCAAGAGGCCTTGCAGCATAAAGGCACAGATCGAAAGCCAGAATGTGGAGCTCCGAAGCCTGTATCTATTCAGGTTTTGAATCCCGGTAAGGCTTAAGTATATACGCCATAGGTTCTTGGAACCTTCGGGCAATGACGCCCGCTGGAATGGCTAAGTTGCAACGCTGTACCAGACCCGTTAAGCGCTGACGAGTTGTCGTCAAGCCCGGTGTAGACCACACGCTTTCTGTTTACAAAGGACCGAATCCTTCTTGAGGAAAAGGTTGGTGAAGCAATGTTTAAAAATGTTAAGTTACACAAGCTTCAAACCCCACAGGCAACAAGTCTTGCACAGCACTTGCGCACAACTTCGCCCGAAGAGCCACGCGTGCTTCAAACCTCGAAGCACCATCCCCTTGCCTCGTAGAACCTGTTTCGATCCCGCTACCATCTGAAACATCTTTGCCTCACGGCTGGAGCCAGAATCGTAGCCGCAGGCTTGTCTGCGCAGCCCTGCCAAACCTTTTCCATGCGCCACAGCATTACTTCAATTGACACACTGCTTTGCCATGTGTTCTAAAACAGCAAACTGCCGACTCAAGATGTCAAGGTCTCGGAACCTACCGAACTACTGACAAGCATTCCTACACGACACAAAAGCCTCCAAGCACTGCAAGCGGCTTTCCCCCTATATGAGTTCGAAACCTGTTAAACAACATCATTATTTTCGGGTTCCTTTGTCCTTCGTAGGTTCTTTTGTGCTGCCGAAAGGCCCGCTAGGGCGGAAAAAGACCAGTCCGAGCTGCAGAGCCATGCTAGGCAACTTGCACCAAGAGCAGCGACACTTGCGGCTAGCTGAGAGGTACTGTAGGATGTGTGAGTTGGGCAGTCTTGTTCTTTAGTGCTGACGAAAGTGGGTTTGGGCATCATCGTAGCGTCCCAATTTAAACCCTCATACTACAACTTTGTCGGAACCCGTCAAGCGAGGATCTTCCAGCAAGTTGAGGTAGTGTTCGAAAATATGCACGGGGCAGGTGTCACACCCGACTCTGCCACCCCCGTGGAGCCCGGCTCGTGGAACGCGCGTTCTCACAAGGCTTTTGCATTGGGTCTGTGGATTCAAACCCTTCTTGGAAGTGTTATTCGAACTAAGACTTGGAGAAGTTTCGGTTCGGGCCGTTGGGAATCAAAATCGAGAAGCAATGTAGGGGCCGTGATACTCCCATGTTTGGGAGTATTGCTCAGGCTGTTACATTGTTTGGTTGCGGACTTCGAAGTTTATTTGGGGCTTGCAGGAGTTTAAGCTTCCAGGCTTCGTGGAGCAGGGCAGGGCGGCAGGTTTAGGGAACCGGGTCTGGCCGTTTTCTAAAACTAAGGGCCCAGGGAACCTGTTATCGGCTGAATACTGTGGCAGCCTGAAGAGACATGATAAAGGTTTTAGTAAACTATACCTCAAAACACCGGTCCAAACAAAAGCCCGTCCCGGCTTTAGGATTTTGCCGCACTTTTGTGGATGAGGCCAGGGATCCTTCTCCCTTGAAAGGGAATGGGTAGTTCTCTAAATTGGGGCCTAAAAAGGACCTTAGTTTTAGAGAACCAGATGGGCTTATCGGACTTGAAGGCCTTTTCTCTGGGTTTTCATGTTTCGGCCTTCGCATTCGGATTCCGTCTGGTGTACCAAGGCTCTTGGGGAAATTCTGTCATCATGAGTTGTAGTATGGTTACTGCGTTTAACGAATATTCCTGTTGTGGCTGTTGCTCATGCTATTGTTGCGTTTTTGTATTGTTGGCATCGCTGGTATTATTACAAACATTACAAGCATGATTGTGACAGTGGCGATGCTTATCATTACTGTCAGCTGTGTTACTCATACTACTGCTGTTGTTGTTTTGCTCTTGGTGTCGCATATTTGCAATGTAGACGCTCCGTGCATTCTGTTTAACGTCTTTTTTTGTCTGTGTGGATCTCGCTCTCTCTCTCTCGCCTTGTGCCGCTGCTAGTGTATGTCCCTGTGTTTGCAAGGATTACAGCAAGCCGCCGTCCACTGTGTACGGAAACCAGCCACTGGAAGCTGCAGAGAAGCACTCACTGAGGGGTCCTTAGGGATAGGATGTATGCAGGATGCAAAGACTTGACAATTTCTCGGAATGGTCGCTTTGTCCAGATTCGGCGTTTACAGGTCTATAAGGGGTTAGGGATATTCGAAGTGTCTGGACTTACCGGGATTGTGGCTTTCAGGGTCTAGCATGTCAGCTTGGGATATTGCAGAGATGCTGGGGCTTGGGGCAGGAGCTTCGGCATTTTCCTGCCATGTAGTCGTGGAATAATAAAGGCGTTGTTTACCACAGTTTGGGATCCTGAGTTTCAGAGGCCGAAGATAGACACCAAATTAGCAAGCCCAAAGCCTATCTTTACTGATCAAAGCACCTATGTTCATCTTACATCTTAATCCATGTATTCCAGCGAGCGACCACAGAGGCATGCGCCCGCCGAGGGCAGGCAGCGCATGTTCAACTCCAGGCACGCCGGGGCACTGAATCCTGCGTAGGCCCGTGCGTGTAGTTTAGTGTCTCCATATGGGCTATACAGACTTTTGCTAGGGTTTCTCAGGTTGTTTTACAGGGGTTGTGTGCTTGAGGGTCTGGGGTTTAGGACAGCTTGCTTATTCTATGGTTAGCAACCCTGTCGAAGAGACAAAGTACTACAATTCCGGGTACAGGCACCTTCATTTCAGGGGTGGTCCCTGAGGCGTATACGAAGACCTTACGAGATCGCAGAAGTCATTAAAACCCCGGAGCTCGAAACCCTAGCCGCCTTAGCCTTAAACCCTATAAACCCTCAGACTCAAGACCCGAAACCCAATAAGGGCGTGCCATGTAGACTTTAGAGCTTGCGAGGCTTTGCTCGGAGGAGTTTTTGGGCGATGCAGGGGGACATATCTGCTCTGGGGATGCACGACTATGGATCCTAGGAGTTTAATTTGAGGCTTCTGGGATTTCCGCTCCCAGATTGCTCAAGGGTTTCGCGCCAAGCGCTCCTCTTCTTTGCGCTAGAAGCAATTGAGGCCCATACAACCCTATGGGCTTAAGCCTTAATTAAGCGCTGTACATTCAGCAGAGGCATGGCAGTTCAGGTTTGGGTCGAAACCTTCAGTCCGAGTTGGACTAGCGAGCCTTTAGAGATTGGGGTTTGGGGGCTCAGGGGTTTAGGGCTTAGGGGTTTAGGGGTTTGGGGTTTACGGTAAGCTTTTGAGTGTTAGAGTTTGCTTTTCTGGATCACGGGTTCTAAACGTGTGCAGGGGCCCGTGTTGTCTTCCGGTACTTTAGGTTCATGCATTTTACGTGATAGCAGTCCAAATTACGGCTTGAAAATCCCCAGAAGCCGTAAAATTTCTATCTCACTCCTAAAGCCGTCATAGTAAAGAGTTCGGCAAGCAGAATCAATATACCTTTGTAACGTTCATCATGCAAGTACACGACACTCTACCCGAAAGCCTCTGGTCTAATCTGGACTGGTACCAGGAGGAGCAGTAGTAGTAGTAGTAGCAGTAGTAGTAGTAGTCGTCGTCGTCGTAGGTCCCTTTGTTATTACTGCTCCTTTATGACGGATGCCCCATCGAGGAACAGCCGCATACCTGGACCGGATTGTGGTCAGCCCACCGTTCCGGGGCGCAAGGCAGCGAGCAAGTGCGTCTTCCCGGGATCGGAGCGCAGCTCCCTAGGTTTTAGGATGTAGGGCTTGTAAGTTTGTTGGATTTGGGCTTTAGATTGCGGTTTAAATTTCAGGGTTTAGGCTTTGTTGTAGCTGTGAAGCTTTAGGTGAGCGTCTTGGAGCCTTCGCTGTCAGCTCTTCGAAGTTTGCACTCTGAGGATCCATCCGGGCTTGAGGACCCAGCTACAGCGGTCCCGAAAGTGAAGTTCTACATATTGCAAGAGGGTTTACGGCAGGTTTTAGCCAGAATACGGCTTCCGGAACATCAGTTGGAACACGCTTCAGTTCTGTCTATGCTGTTACAAGAACCGCGGCACGGCGACTTCCCGAATCTCTCCGTTTGGAACGTATTCCCTGCAATAGCTCAGGGCTCTCAAATTCGGAGATCATGTTTCAAGGTTGAGAAATTTTGCTTTGAGACTTTGGGGTTTAGGTTTGAGGGGTTTTACGGTTGATACTGAAGGCTTAGCTTTGGCTCGAGAAAGCCTCTTAAAGTCTGCTCCCAGCGTGCCGAAACCGAGAGCCCTCAGCCCTGAACCCGGACCTGCCTGAACCTGACATCTTCCCTGGATTCGGAATTCAACAACCTGGATTCTGAAACTGAATGTATGAGATGTTGGCCCTTGCCCAAAGCATACAACAGCTTTATGGTAGACTTGGAACATGTGGGACCTCAACTTTAAATCCAACATGGTCATGGACTCCTTCTGTTCCAAGGCACCTCCACACACACACGCACACACCCACCCACCCACCCGCGCCTCGCATGGATGGCCAGTCCTTCTGGCAATGGAAGATGAAGAGAAAGATGCAGAGGAAGATGCGGGGCAGCCCGCATGGCAGAAGCCTCGCCTGCTGCTGGTTCTTCTGCTCCCCTGCCTCGGTCTACACACTGGACGCTTGGTGTGTGTGCAGCTTGGGAGCCCCAACCCCGCGCAGCCACTTTGACCCCTTAGATCCTGTGTGCGCTCTCGTCAGATCATTAAACCCTAAACCTACGCCTCCAATCGGCGAGAAGCATGAACCCTAAACTTGAGCCCCTCATCAAAAGCTTAAAAGCCGCATCCAAGAGCCCTGGTGCAAGGATTTCTCTTCCGAAATCAGCCTGGGTTCCTGTGGTCCTCCCTGGCCGATGAGATGGGGAATCTCACACCCCGAAACCGTTCCGTTTGGCAGCCCAGGTTGAAAACAGAAAGTGCTTCTTCTTTCAGCTCAGGCACAAGATGCAGGTGCCGGCGCACTAATATAGACGGTGCACAGCATACCTGGATATCAAGGACCACACTTATCAAACACTATAAGTAACTCCAACCGCGGAAGCTCACGAACTGCTGAATCCTAATATGCCCTTGTGCCCAAGTGTTGTAGCTTCGTTTTGATTCGTGAGATTGAGGAGAGTTGCGCCTCTTTTTGGGTTCGGGTAGCAGCCGTTTGCTATCACGCAAGACGCAGGTGGTTGTTTCTAAGCAGTAGCTCCGAGAAAAGTGAGGTATGGCGATAGAAGACCACCAGTGCAGCCGCTTCGTGTTGCAAGCGTGATCGCTGGCCAGCTGCGAAGTATGACCAACCGAACCAACGTTGCGCGAGTCAACTGGCTCACAAGACAATCTGACGTATTCATCTGCACCGACAGACTTTACCAGGCGCAGATTGGAAACCTGACAGGGGTCGTCGGGACTCGGTTCCTGGAAGAAGATCCCAGCTGGAAGGAAAAGGTCAACCTGACTAAGGAGCTGCAGTGGTGGCGGTTGCAACAGTGCTGGGACATGATCCAGGACTTTGAAGCAGAGCACGGCTTCAGCTATGCGTTCTACATGAAAATTCGAACGGATTGTTATAAAAGGGGTGGCTGCGAACCTTCCTGGACGACCTACAATAAGATACGGAAAGACTTTGGCCCACACTTGGACGACAAAATCTTCGCACGCAGCAACTCATCTGTGCAGAGGGCTCAGGGTGCAGCATTTGGAAAACAAAGTTTTGATGCTGCAGTTTATGTTATGTGCGGTGGGTCGTCAAATTAGGCGTGCCCTATCTCGGTGTTCTGAAGCAGAGGATCTTCATAAATCGTGGCATGATCCACTGAGCTTTGGTTCTGCTAAATAGCTAAGGCTTAGGCGACCAAACGTTTGGTGGAACGCGAGCCAGCTTCTCACGCGCCGCCACCCTGTTCTCGCGGATTCCAGACTACTGGCAGAATGCGCGTGCCTTTTGGCCCGTGGATTTTGAGTTGCTTCGTCGTTCGGACGGCTTTGTGAACAAGCACCTGGGTAATTTTCAAGAGGGTGAAGCTGCAGAGAGGGCCGAGACCCCAAAGCACTTGGATGGAAAGCGATGCCTTACTGAAATTCCGGGTGCAGCGTGCGGGTACAGAGCAGTGTGGTGATTTACTGAGCTGCAACGGGCGCAGAAACGAAGACGGAAGGAAGAGAAAGTGATAGAAAAGGGGGTCGAAAGGCTGAGATAGCGTGAGTGAGGCGGTGAGAAAGCAGGCTACACTGTTCATGAACACTCGCCCTGCAAATCTGCAAAAAAATAGCCGCCCCAATCAGTCAAGGCAATGCTAGACCCGGGGCCCTAAACCATTAACCTTTGACCCCAATCCCAGGTATGTCTGGATTCCATTTCCACGAGCTGTTGTCAGCCGATGGAAAATCCCGAAATGCTGTGATCCAGGGCTCCTTCGGAAGTCTCCCGAGCCTCGCTCGTCTAGAAGTCAAAGTTGTAAAGGTCGGTGGTTGAAGTTAGATTCTAAGGTTCAGGATTCGGGGTTCGGATTTCGTTTCGTGTAGGGTTTAGATTTTGGGATTTAGCTTTTGGGAGCATGCCTCCATTGTTGGTACTTCCATTGCTTTTGCGACCTCTGCTCTGTTTTGTCGATGCTTCTTAGAGTTCAGGGTCCACTCTCTTGTGTGGTCCTGAACAAGCCTTGACATATGAAGCATAGCCTGCCAGCTTCCCCAACAACAACAACAGCAACAAGTCGCCTAGGGTCGGGAACTGGACGTTGAAGGGTAAAGCCGAAAAACCCTTAGCCCACATGCTGCACTCTCCATTGCAAGGAGCTGGCGAAGGAGTTGAATGAGTGGGTCAGGGACAACTGCCAGCGGCCGTTTCTAAGCCCTTTTTGAGCATATTGTGTTCGCCCTTCTCGGTAGGTTCTTAAAACATCACTCAAACTTAAACTTTTCGGTTCCCAAGGGACGGCAAGCAAAAGACACTAATACATTCTTTACCGGACCCCAAGCCCTAAGTCAGTACTTAACCCTAGCTTATCCACAGCAAAGCCCAGGTCTCAGTGCAAAGACATCGAGATTCACTCCCGCTTGCCACTGCCTCACACCGAGCTTATGCCTGAAGAGAAGCTGTAGGGTCTGGGAGTTGCGTGTAGGCTTCATTGTACAGTCAAGCCACTTCTCCCGAAACCCGAATCTGAAAGCCCAACCCCGCCATTTTCGAATCTTAACTTCAGTTTGAAGTTTGCTTGTACCCGTACTGAAAGAACTCATCTGAGAACCACATGAGGACTTCGCTTCGGAGCAAGCATTCCTGCTCGACTTCTTGCGAGTGGGCATCGAGATTCACGGACTCCGACGGAACGAACAGCACAAGCACATCAACAAGAGATGAGGGGCTGCGAGACTGCGAGGCCTTCCAAAGTGAGAGCCTCATGTAAAGAGATTAGGTTCGTTCCAAATACCGTAAACCCCAAATCCTGAACGACAAACTCGCCAATTTCCTCCGCGCTTGCCAAAGCAATTTTGGATCAGTATGATTAACGGTTTCATACCAGGAGGGCCCGGCTAAAGCTGAAGCGTATCTAGTTGAGGTAGAGAAGCTGTTTTTTACACGGCTGGAGTTGGGGTTCACAGGGCGTGCTTGTGCCGAGTACGACGAGTCCTTGGCAAGAGTTTTCAGCACAAAGTTGCTGACGTTGCAAAAGCCCCTGTGCAAAACCGCAACCTCTTCGAGCTTTCGCCTTTGTACAGAAATGCAAGTCAGTTTTAAGGTTTGAGTGTTTAGGGTTGCAAGGGTTTAAGGTTTTCGTCGTCGCGGTTCAGGGCGAACCCAATGCCCACAGCCTAAACAGCAACCCCTTCCCGAGCCCCAAACTGCCCAATCGCCCCATTCCACGCACACAAAGCCATTAGCATCGAGTAATGGAATTCTGTCTTGGAGACTCTTGCGTGCTGATGCCGATAGTTTTTGTTGCTCCATTGGTTTCTGTTCGTGGTCCTTGCACTACTGGTTGGAAGTTTATATTCCCAGCGCTTTGAATCTGCTGAAATCAAGCTCGCTATGGCGTGCTGCAAACCTGCTCCGCTGACAGCCTCAGCCACCTTCAGGGTTTGCTTCTGGTTGTGCTTGAGAAACACGACAGAGCTCGCTCGACACCGGACAAATATGACGGACCTGACTACGCAATGAAAAACAACAACCCTAAACTCCCAATCCGACACCCGTAAAACATTCTGGGCCAAGCAAGGTTCGCGGAGAAAAGGAGCTCAAAAGCACAAAACTCGAGATCAACCTGACACCCTACCCTGACCTCCTTCGCCCCGCCCAAGCTCAAGAGAACAGAAGTACAGAAAACTCCAATGTAGAGGCCGAAAACATTACCAATACCATGTTGGTGTTCCTTGTTACAAATATGGTATAATACATCCTAAAACGCTGTTCTGACTATTGGGGCCCCTATATTGTCAGGCTGGGCCCTTGGATTGCGCGCCCCTTCCGGGCACGGCCCCGGTGCCTGCGCCGAATGCGAAGACGTCCGCTCTGGCGCCTTGGAGTGCGCTAAGAACTATAAGTCGAGCCATAGATCTTTAATTTGGGTTCTGCTAGATTTTCGAAGGGTGCTGATAGGGTTGTAGTCCAGGTTAAACAGTGTTAATTAGGCTTTACTGGCCTTGATAGGCTTCCATGGGGCCTACAGGGGTGGTTGAAGACTTACCCGTACGATTGTTTGTGCCCCTCAATATTTGCACTTTCGCAATAGGCCCAAAACCCTGCTCAGGCTTTAGAGTTGGTGGGGAATTTCGTTGTGGGCCGTGCAGTTTACACGGTGTTCGGCTGTTTGAATTGTGGCCTTAGGGCTGCATTCTGCTAACTACGCAGTCTCGTTTTGCAGTTCAATTTGCTCGAGACTGTTGCATTATGTTCTAGGAGTTGTGGCGTGACAATTTGGCTAGACAGATTCCTACATCTTACACTCCTGCGCTCTACATCAAACATGTAGTTTGGACTCACGCTGCAGATCTTCCTGTTGTAGGGCTGCCTGTTGTGAGGAGTGTTCAAGATGCACCTCGAACAGAACACTTTTCGACAAATACAGAGAGAAGGAGCTTGAAACCTTAAATCCTCAGAGCCGCAACAGCATTCGGATCCGCCTGCTCTGAGCTCCAAAACCCGAATGTACAACGGCACCCTGTGAGAGGCCATGGGAGCGCATGGGCACGGACCCAAGAAGGAGGACAGAAAGAGATTTAGTTGGGATATTGGAATGTCCATTTATTTGTTGCCAACGGGGTTTTGGATTTAGGCATTCGAATTTGGGGATATCGGTTCGGGTTTCTTGCTGCTTGGGTTTCAGGGTTTGGAACTCGACTGACCCCTGGTTTCGGGTTCGAGACGCACTTGCCGGAATTGTTGGTGTCATTATTTAACTGAGAACTGGAAAAACGAGTGCCTGAAGAAGAAGTCCAATGCAGTTTCCAGATTCCAAAGAACATTGGAGGGCTCGAAAAAGGTGCGGGCTGCGACAAGATCCCTTGAAAGCTCGAAGGTGTAGTGACTTTTAGACTTGCTCGATGCGGGTGTGCCGGGTGTTTTGGCTTTCGTGCTTTTAGTTTTGGGTTCGTGGTGTTTGGTGTTGAGCGGTTTTAATGGAAGAACTGTGCTTAACACGCCTAGAGCCTTTCAATCCAAGCCCCCATGTTTCGAGTATTGGGATAAGGGTTCACTGCCAGACATGCTTTGAATGGATGTAGTGGTTTGCAGTCAATGTTTGCTTTGTGGCACATTGATCTTAGTCGGCATCTGGCTGTCTCCAAATGCTATTTGGGAGAGCATTGTCTGGACGATTTCAGTCCCCACCGAGAACCAGGATTTGGGTGATCCAAAAGTGTTTTGCTCCGTACAATCTGCTTTGCTTAGTTTGTAAAACTTTCACACCTGGCCCCGTGCATGGGCATTCAGAGGTCTTGGACGCCTTCAGCCATCATGTACCAAGAAGCCGCAAATCACTTCCTAGAACCCGACGTACCTGGGGCCGGGAAGTACTGAAACGATTTGAACCCTGAACTCTGAATACCTAGAAAAAAAACCCTCAAGACAAACCACATATGTGGGCTTTGGGTCGTCATTGCGTAGACTGCGACCTTTGCTCGCAACCTGCAGCTCCAGGAGGAGCATCATGGGCATGGGCGGTCTGACATGTACGGCGCCATGGCTTGCTTCAGACCTTCGTATTCCAAATGCCCACTTTAGGCTACCTTCGGGCTCTAGGGTTGAGGTTTTGGAGTGGGTCGAGCTGAGCTTCAGTCTCTGCTGTTGCACCGCAGAACAGCTGAAGCCGGCATTCGCAGCATTTCTGCATCATTGCAATGGCAGCTCCTTTCTTAGCCAGCAACAGACAAACTCACAAAAATGCCAACAGCTTCTGGGCGTGTTTGAGCAGTCCCAAGCCTCTCAGCCCAAAGCCTGAAGACTTGGGAAGGATCCTTATTGCACACCCCCAAACCCGAGTCTTGGCATTCAGGCCACCATATTGAGCCCTACGAGGCCTAAATGCCACAAACCTTTGTTTGGGTGCAGATGCGGTCTACCTGTCTCGCCCTGCTCACCCTCGGGCTCAAGCAGTGGAAGAGGCACCCAAGGACAGCAGCGCATCGAATTGGGGGTTTGGGTTTAACGTCTTCCTCGTCGAGGTTGGGGTTACCTGAGGCATCCGCTTTGTTTGTTGGAGAGTTGGTTTGGAGCGGGGGGTGTATTGAGGTTTAGGGATGACGCTGTGAACGAGCAGGAGCCTCAAGTTGAAAGCCCTACCACACGAGTTGTGGGTTGAAGATGCGCGTTTTTGAGACAGTGACTTTGGGCTTGTTCCTCCAAAGGTGCCATGAAGGTAGCTGAGGCACCCCCCCGCAAGAGAGTCGAATCTTTAATCCTGCATACCTTCATCCCACCTGTTGAACTCCTTGCAGGAGAACACTTGCAAATTCTGAATGCCGGACGTGAGTGAAGTCACAAGGTCTAGCAACTGTGACACCTGACATGGATTGGGGTTAGATTATATCACAGGGTACCCAACCCAGCATGGTAACTTGGTAATCAAGTGCATGGCTGAGCCACGATGCTCGTAAGCCCGGCTTAAGGTGTAGAAGTTCTTGCCAGCGAAGGTTTCGAGAGTGTCGTAAATCTACTCTAGCAAAGGCTGTGAAGTGTTAAGGTTCTCGGTCCGCCCTTTCTCTCCCTATCTTTCTCTCCCTCTCCCCTCGCGAACCTTCCTCTAGATCGTCGACCCATTTTCTCCCAGGAGATGTGGGTGCAGCGACCCACCGTAACTGGCTGGACCAAAGTCGGAGTCCCGAGCCAGGTGCCTGTTCTGAATTATTGACATGAAGTCACGAGGCATAGGGACGACAGTTGGCATGCTGAGTGGTATCCTTTTTTGCTTGTTTGTCCATCTGTTCCGCTTACGAAAGAAATGCTTACTGAGAAAGTATATACGTTTGCCAAACAGTCTGGGACATACAGGAAGCAGGAGGTTGATTGAGTAGGTGTTGGTCGGATTTGCGCTAGGAGCCCTAAGCCTGAAGCCTCAGCCTAGCGTGCTTTTCGTAGGCTTCAGGCTCCCGCTCCGATGGCCGGGTTAGGTCCCCGAAATGCCCAGCCAGGAGTGAGTTTGCTACAATTGAAAGTTGGGTTCCGGGCGTCCCAAGATGCCACTCCATGACAACATCGCCGAGTCTAAGCCGCTGGCACCATTGTCTTCTTCTGAAGTTTTTGTCAGACGACAAGCAATCACACTGCAAGTCTAAAGCCGGGCCGGAAGTTAACAGCCCCTAAACGATGTTGAACTGAAAGCCTGCCTGGTCCAGACGCAAGCGTTCCCAACAAGTCAGAAGCTCACGACCTACCACCGATACTTGGAAGCAATAGCTGGAGGTTCCACGGTTTGGGCTTTTCACTTGTGGGTTCAAGGACTTCCAAGTTAAGTGTGCAGGGCTGAAAGGGCTTGCTCCGTCGTCGCGAGGTTTTGATTGAATCTCACCGATTGGCTGCTGCAAGCTTCAGTTAGGTGTACAGGAACAGTTCCGGTGCAGAGGTCTTGTCCTGTGCTTGAGATGTGGTAGAATCCATCGGCTGCTAAGGGACCTGACGGTACGAAGATTTCACGTTGAAACTAGTGCTTAGAATCCGCGACTTTCAGCAACTCCGCTGAATGCTCGTAGCCTCGCCGCGCCAAGGTTGCGTTCTCTGGCACTTGGGGCAAACGGAGCATGATCCAAAGCCCGAAAACATAATTTAGGGCGCCAACAGAAAGCTAAACTGCAATCCTCGGCCTCGGCGAAACAGGCCCCCAAAAGCCTCAGCCCACAAGACCTTCCTTACAGTTTTTTCAACCCCAAGATCGATGCCGTTCCTGACTTTGCCGCTTCGCGGTTTCGTCTCTAGCCGAACACAGGGTGCTTGAATAAGACGTAATAATGTCTTCGGTTTCTTGCTTATGTTCAGCATAATCAGCCCAAAGCCATACTCTAGCTCCCTAGGCCCCTTTTTTTGCAGCCTGCGGTCAGCTTATCTGAGGAACCTCTCTGGAGCCCAACCCATCGGCCCCACAGACGCGCAGCGAAAGGCGGCTGAGGTCGGAGACGGCTCCCTGAGGTCGGCGATCCAGTGGTTTCACGAACTTCAGTGTGTGTGTTAGAAGGATGTTTCGGTCCGTGGCTTTTCAGCCTTTTTAAGGTGGCTCTGGTGTTCAAGGTTTTGATGGGTATGTTTGTCAGTTTTCTGAGGCTTCGGATCTTGAGCTTGGGGTTTTCGGGCTTTCGGTGTTTTGGGGTTGCTGGGCCTGCGACATTCAATTGGACAAGGAATAGATGCTTAGAATTAGCGAAATCATCTCGTTGAAGGCCTTAACGATTTTCAGCAAAAGTTGCAAGTTAGAAATGGCTCTCGTGGTTGCCTTCGACAGGAGAATCCAACACCCGAACGTGATTCTAAAGCTAAGGCTTTTGATCTCAAAACTGACGCTCTGTTCTTTTTGTAAGCAGTGCTAGTAGCAAGTTGTGGAATTGTCGGGATTCAGCAATGCCAATAGAGCCTCCAAGCAGCTTTGTGGCTTTCGCCACATGGGTTTGCCAGTAATGTTCTCAGGGCAGCCTCATCCAGCCCAGTCAGAACCTTAAAACTTTTCTTTCGCGCCCCGAAAGCCCGAAGAGCCTCTAAGGCCCACTCCAAAATACTTGTGAGGCTTTGGCGCACAGCGGCACGACAAAGTCGCGACCTGCTGTTGCAAATGTAGGAGGAGCCCGTCGCTTCGTAGTCCGAAGGGTTTGGTTTCAAGTTGAGGTTGGCGGAGGTTGTTCTTTTTGTTGCCTTTGGTTTGTAGAGTCTGAGCCTCTTCCGCTACGGTTTCGGAGAGCAGTGCATGGGTTGAAAGGATGTACGCATCAACCTTGAACCTTGAAGCGACGAGGCACCGGATGGGTAGTCAAACGTTTGTCCGAGTTTGCTCGGCGGAAAGAGAAACAAAAGCTTCAGTTGAATCGTGTTGAAGGGTGACGGTGATAATAGACCCCTGCGCAAATATTGGTACACGTGATGATGTTCAGAATAAAAGAGTTTCCCTGAAAATTCAATATTATCGTTTGAATATTACGATACATATTGAGCCAAATTTGAAGAATATATATATATATATATGTTTATTTATGTATTTATATATGCTCGCCCCTTTTTGGTTGACAGACCATGGCCTTGTGACAGCGTACTCTTGGCAGGTGACTCGGCTGAGATATCGTTTAAACACACCACACCCGACGATAATCTGTACGTAAAACCTTTGCAGTAGATTTACAACATATACTTTGACATGCCATGTACTGAGGACGCATGCACCTGACGTGCGGCGCATGAGTTACGTAATAGTTTTGTGGAAGTTCGATATTAGGATGAGTACTATTATTAATATTAGTACTAGTGTTTGCTGTAAGTGTACATGTCAATATTTGTGAAAATATATTTGTGTTGCTGCTCATGTTCGTGTTAGAGTTACCGCCAGTGCCAGTGTCAATGTCAGTAATATAGCACCACTGCTAGTATTAGTGTCAGTCATAATGCGGGGTTCAATAGCAGCCTATATTTGCAGAAGTGCTAGTATTAGTATCAATATTAGAAC